TCTATCTATCTATCTATCTATCTATCTATATATATATATATATATTTCAATCAAATGTGTAAATGCAAATTGTTCAAGAAAACACTAAGTGTTTATTTTAATGTTTGTGCATACCAAACAAAAACTTGGGACTCAGGAGTCAAGACAGGCCTTGGAGGGTCACTGGGCGACATCAGGGTGGGCATTGCCCCCTTAACCCCTCCTTGGTGGTGCGCCTGTGAGATACTCTTTCTATGGGGACAATATATGTCAAATAACTAATGGGCGTCTTTATGCATTTATTTACTTTAACTTAATATGGTCTGGACTAAGAAATCAGCTCAGAAATCAACAGAGAAAGGAGAAAAAAGTTCATCACCGAAACCAGTGTGGGCCGTAAAGTACACTCCTATGTCGCAAACTGTCGTTAAGCGTCAAGACGAAGAACGGCAGGACCGCCGTTTCCTTTCCAGCCAGTAAACTATCTTATGGGACCGTCTGTGTGAGCTGTGACGTGGTCAATGATTACCGAATCACAATCTTAACTGTTCAGAAAACGCTACAAGTATTCTGTGATTAGTTTTGTTTAGTTGTTTTCACGTAAATCAAGCGGTTTGCTGCTGGTTTGTCAGGTAAGTTACTAGTTGTTTCAGGCCTCCACGGCGAGCAAAAATGTAGCATCTGACTGTGTCGCTAGCTAAGGAATGTAAATAATTCGTGTTTGCTTTGTCGTCAGTCTATAGAAATAGGTGTCGGTTACGAAACTAGGTGTCTCCTGAGCTTGAGTCTGGTTGACAGTAACCAGGTAGTTTTTTTACTTTCACTTTAAGCCAAGTCTTGTTTCTCTTAGTTTAGCAGAGATGCTAGCTGAGCCGAGCTGGCTAACAGATAATACTCTCATGTGATTCTGCTTGTCGTGATTAGATCACCGTGTTCGCTGTTCCCTACTAAGGAGAGCTGATCTGACGGCATCATGAAGCTGTACAGCCTCAGCGTCATCTATAAAGGCTCTACCAAACCCAACCTCCTGAAAGCGGCCTATGACCTGTCCTCCTTCAACTTCTTTCAGCGCTCCAGGTGCCTCTCAATCATCCAAGCTGTGCTTTGGTTACAGTTCATATCTTAAAGTATTTGTCAACTGCATATACTCTTATCCCCGTGTCATATTTGTGTGTCGTTTCAACGTATTTTCCATGAGTAATTGTGTCATTTGTGTGTATTTAGTATTCAAGAATTCATGACTTTTACCAGTTCCTTGATTGTTGAGCGAACATCTCAAGGCACGCGTGCCTCTGTCAAAGAACAAGGTAGGACTGGGCTGATGGAGTCCAATGACTTTGTTTTGATTTGCAACACGGGATACTTTTTGAAATGACATTGTCTGGTTTGGTTCTGCTGCCATGAGATGTTTATTACAACATGCAAAAGTCTTTGACAACACAGCATACAGTTAGGGAAGGATCACTGAAGGGTGAAGTGGTGATACAGCTTCTGAATAGAAAGTAGATTAGTAGTAGGGAAACATATTAAATCATTGTAAATGTAAAGAATTTAATAGGTTTCAATAAAACTTTTCACAACACATTTTTAATGAGGTCATTACACTTTTTTTTAGGGTTTATAATCTTGATTTTGATAGTTTCAGTCCTTCGTATAGCTAAGTCTTGAAAACTGGGAACTGTCTAAAAGCCAAATATTAATATAATATTGTATTCTTCTGATGGGTTTGAATGGGTCTTATTTGACACATTTGATCTTGTTTACACAACCTGTGATGAGTTGAGTACAAATCATCCACTCATTTTAGTGTTGATGATGGTAAACATCATTTTATGCCGTTCGTCCCACTTTGCCTGATGTTTATTTCGTCTCTTCAACTTAGAACCTCCCGATTTATCAAATTGATCAGTTATGTGGCATAAAGCTGATTTGAACTTGTTTATTTGTGGTTTACGTTTTGATGTTTTTGCAGAGTACCTGTGCCACGTGTATGTAAGAAATGACAACCTGAGTGGTGTGGTGATTGCAGACACAGAATACCCACAGAGGGTCTGTTTCACGTTGCTTGACAAGGTTGGTATAAAAATATAAAACTCATTGTTGTCACACTTTGCTCTGAAGTTATATTTTTAGACTTTACTTTGTTTTGTAGGTATTAGAGGAGTTCTCCAGGCAAGTGGACAGTATCGACTGGCCTTCTGCTAGTCCTGAAACTGTAAACTATAAAGCACTGGATATTCACCTTTCTAAATACCAGGTCAGTTTGTTTTTGATTTATTCTATAGTCGAAATGTTATAAAAACAGTATGGATTAGGCTTGTCTGTGAGATATTAGATTTCTTTTCTAATATAATATATTAAATGGTGCTTCGGTGTGGTTTGGAGCCAACATAAAGATGGATTCTAAAAATCTAATAATCCATTTATATTATTACAGACAGAATGTTATAACTGTGTAGTTGACCGCTGTTTCTTTTTTTGTTCTCAGAACCCCAGAGAAGCAGATGCCATGACCAAAGTACAAGCGGAGCTGGATGAGACAAAGATCATTCTGGTAAACTACCTCCTAATACCTTGATTGAAGCTAAAATGTTTGCACATGACTCAGTTCAAAATATGATTTACATCTGTAGATAGTTTTGCATGTTAATGCCACATTCACATTAACTGTGGAAAGCAACTCCTCTTAAATAACCTAACTGAGGTGATGTACTATAAAAGAGTGTATCTGGGGTTCAAAGTTAATGTCTGCCAGTTTGTTGTTGAGAAACAGACTTATCTGTAGATTTACTAATGTTGGACAATGCCTCTCTGCAGATGCTGATTTTCTTTAATGTCTGAATCATGTCCTCTGAGGGGACCCTTGATAAGAAATACTCTGCCTCCATGGTGCTCACAGTTGTATAGTTAGCCTCTAAAGTGGGAAAACTGTTGTTGTGTGCAAAAACAGCCAAAATGCAGCAACAATGCTACGATTTCATTCAAAAACGACATCATATAAACAAGACCTTAGTCCTCGTGAATGGAGAAAGACTCGTCTACAACAAATTTCAAGTAAAGATTTTAATTTCCAGAGAAACTTTTAAACTTTTATAAAGAACAATGTTGCTCCTAAAGCTAATTTAACTACTTAGTTTAATATGTCAGCAGAGTCTTAATCACCCTGAGCATTTTTCTCCCCAACAGGTTAAAGATACTCAGTTCTGGGTCTGGTATATTTCTGCTGAAATCTAAAATGGTGTTAAATTACATAAATAAGTGCTGAAATATTGCACCTCCTCAAACAGGTAGGGGTGCACCGATTGCAGTTTTCTGGCCAATCAGCGATTTCTAAAAAGTCTGACCTGCCAATTCCAATTTTGTTTTATAATCGACACTGTCGGGTGTCATAAGGTCACAATGCACCTTCGATTTTCCAATATTATTTTATTGAAAAACATACCCTTGAACAATATCCTAGAAATAATATAAACTTGTTTTAACTGGCCATGAGGTAGCGCTCTGAAAAATAAATGAAGTTCATACAATTGTTGTTAAAACAAACAAAAAAAGGGTAAAATCTGTTTCTCATGCAAATCGACCGATTTCCCAAAGTTAAAAAAAAAAAGGCGCACCCCTAGTTGTACGAGCTGCTGCGCTGATCCATCTGTTGCCTTAAAGAAAATACAACTCGCCTGTAATAATGCAACATTTATCCAGGTTTTAAACATGACAGGACCTGTTTTAACCTTAAAGGAAGCAGCTGGAAGCAAAGATAGTATGTGTGTGATGTCTCGTCAAATGCAAAAGTTTAGTGATGTTTGCAGTTTTAATATTTTGGCTAATGGGATGTATCAAGCTCTGCATTGTTCAGAATTATTTCAAACCATGAAAAGCAGCTTTACTGTCCTCCGTCACAGAGCGAAAAGAGAATTGAATACTTGATTGAATACTCTCCATCCATTTGTTTGTGAATGTTGTGAGCGCGATAACTTGAAAAATAAGTGAGGGGCTGACTTTGATTTTCACGTGTGGCTACATCTAGGTGTAAAAAGGTTCCAATTTGGACCATGCCACGTCAAAATCCAAGATGGCTGTCACCACGTGTGTGTGTGCAAACATACACATATGTAAACTGGCCACGCCTATCATTTGAAAAAAACTGTTTTCTGGTTTTGTATTGCTTAACAGTGTTTTCTTTCAGGGGTTGCCACAGCAGGTCTTCCTCCTCCATCTCACTGTTTTACATTGCTTAATAGTATAGTATCCTCAAGTGATTGGGGTGTCCGAAGATTAATCTATAGTAGCCAAGGCCACCATTGTCCACCTCTTGGCTCTGCCGTTGCACCTGCTGGTGGATAAAATGTCTCCCTCCACTCGCCAGGATCTGTCACCCTGCATCACCTCAGACATGAATACACAGTGTAACTCCTACCCACTTGAATATTGTGCACCAAAAACGTTGAGTTTACTTGCACTTCCTGTTAAGTTCCAGTCCAGAAAAACACTCATCTCATAAACTACAAACATTCACTATTCAAATCCTTCAGCGACTTTAAACATCCGTATACCGCTTGTTTGGATTAAAAAAAAAAAAATTGGCAACAGTTTTATTACAATAAATTATGGTATATATCTAGTTTATAGGTCTTAGAATGTGTTTTCTTTCACAGCAACTATTTTTAGACCTATTTACAACTAAAACGACCATCCATCCTGTTTTTGGCCCATTCATTTTATTGGCTAAACGATGGGTCATATTGTTTGTGCAGTACTTTTTAACGGAGACTTGTTTGCCTCCTGCAGCACAACACCATGGAAAGTTTGTTGGAAAGAGGAGAGAAACTGGATGATCTTGTGGCGAAGTCAGAGCATCTGGGAAACCAGTCCAAAGCCTTCTACAAGACCGTACGCACCATCAGCTCGTCTCTTTGACTTTCGACTGTGTGACTTGTCACGTTTTAAACATCTGCTCTCTCTGGTAACAGGCGCGGAAACAGAACTCGTGCTGTGAAATCATGTGATGCCACTGCCTCGTCCTGGTGGTCACAACCCTCTGCCTTTCTGCTTTTCCTACAACCCCCATCATGCACCAGCCACCATCTCTCTTCATGGACGCTGCAGACTCCAGGATGGGGCGCCGGGGGGGATGAGAGCGAGACAGTTTGAGCGTGACTTTTAAACCGTGACTCATGGGGGCTGAAGGAGTGATGGGGTTTGGTTCAGGGGAAGAAGTAAAAGTTCTAAATCTTTTTTTGCCTTTCAAAAGGTAGACATCCATGTGGTGGTTATTACCAGCTGAGGACGTTCTAACGTGACGTTATGTCCCGGTGATGTGTCGTCAAACTCTTCAGAACCATTTAATGTTATTCCGATTGAATATAGCTTGATCTCTTAAAATTATTGAAAGAGTGTTAACCACACTTGTGCTTTTTGCTTCAAGGCAACTCTGACAATCTCACCCCCTTATATATTCTCTGTTATGGATGCTCCTAACTGGTTTTCTTGCTGGTGTGACTTTGTACGCCCACTGGGTGGCTCTCTTTATGTTCAGCTCTAATGGACCTCGGTGTTGAGCTCCCACTTAACAAACAAAACTATTAGTTACTCAGATATCTAAACTTCACTGAATTTTACAGCAACTGTTTAAACACCTGCGCTTTACTGTATTTAGTTCTAACAGCCTTTTTTTTTTTTTTTTGTGGTCTGATTATGTTAAATCTTCAACATTCCTGCTTTGGATAGCTGTGTGAAAAACTGATGAGATGTAGGAAATAGGTTGTGAATTTTTTTTATTTATTTTTTTCATTAATCTCATTTACAGTGCGCTTCTTTAAAATCTTTGACATCATCTGACATGACACTTAAAAACAGGGTTTTGCGTTTTTAATCAAAAAAAAAAATCTCGAACGTCTTACACTTTGTCATCCTTCATAGTGATCGAGGTGATTCTGGGAAGTTGGAGTGCTGCTGCATTTTTTTTTTTTTTTTTTGGCCTCTTTCTGTGCGCTGGTCACATTTCTCTTAAAATAAGTGTATTATGCACGTCTGACTCTTTAAGTTACTCCACCGCTGACACTTTCTCCCTTCGGTGAGCACCGTTTGACGTTTATATCTGGGTAGAAACTCATTTTCTCATGTTTGTGAGAGGAAGCGATGCCTTTGCTTGTGCAGTTTTAGATGTTTCTCTGCTCTCTGATGTGTGTGTATTTGTACATGTACTGCTAATACAACCTCCAGCTGCAGGCTGTTCATACCGAGTGCCTGTGTGTGTGTGTGGAGAGGATTGTGCTCTTTCTGCTTTTTATAGTGTAAACTTTGGTGCAATATCTTCCGCCTGTTGGGGAGTTTCTTTAAACGGGAGGAAAAAACGTTTCTCATTAAGGACAATAAATTACACTTTGTATATGATTTTCTTTTGACTAATTCCCAACATAAATCTTGTCCAGGGTTGTTCTTCAGATGGTTTCATCTTTTAGAAAGCATCTGCGTTGTAATGGATTGCCTGTCAAAATTTTGACCTTGTGCTGTAGCGACTTGCAGGTCTGATCTGAGTAACGCGTGTATTAAACAGTAAACATTAAATATTTTAATTCGAATGCAGTATCTGTGTTTATAAACAGATTTATTTGGGAATAAAACTGTAAAAGCATTTTTCAACATAAATGTGTTCATACAATGATGTAAAACATGTCATTTCACTTGGATAAACAGGATAAGGGTTTCCTGTGTGTCATATTTGTAATTTTTCATCTCTGAAAATGATTTATTTATAGACCGTGGAGCAGGAAGTCTCCACTTATCTTCAACACATCAGCTTTTTATTAGCTAACCATAAATCTGTGTGACTGCTTGGTTTTCTGCATGTTGGTACAGCTGCTGCGTTCACTATTTGTTTCGAGATATCGAGCAAAACAATCCATAAAAGAACTGGAAGTAGTTGTCAAATAAGGAAAAACGATAGCAAAGCAGGGTGTTTACAATTTATTACCATAAGAGAAACATTCAGCTTTATGGAGGCTCACATCCACCACTGATATAAAAATTGAGTATTTTATATCTCATAATTCTGACTTGACATCTAATAATTGTGACATACATATACAATATGTATATGTAGATAGGTATATATATATATAGGTGTATATATATAGGTATATATATATATATATATATATATACATACACATGTTGTGACTCGTGCTGGCAAAGCGAGTCAAAATGTGCAAAGGTTGTGGAGCTTTTCAGTGAAGTGTTTCTGTTTTTAATTAAGATTTGTGTAAAAATGAGTCCCCAAAGACGCCATGTATGAATCCTGTAACTGAAATAACAATCTTCCTAATCTACATCTAAATGGAAGCTTTCGAGAACAGGACTATTCAACTGGTGGCCCGGGGGCCAAATCAGGCCCATGGGTGAACTCGGTTCGGCCCGCCAATGGGTTCATTTTGAAATAAATCTAGATTTTAAACCATAAAACAAACGTACTTAAAATAACAGATGGATGTCCAGTCCCTGAGCTCTTGGCTGCAGTAAGTGTGGCTCCCAGTGCTGTTTATTTAGTGGAATACTCTTGTTCGAGAAGGTATATCTTCAGATGAAATCATTTTATTTTCTTTGAAACTGACCGTTTTCATCTGCCAGGGCACTGGGAAATCCCTTCCTATAATTGACATTGTGAAGCTTGCGGTTTCCCCCTTTTTTTAATGTACAGATGGGATTATTCTTGACTAGAAACGACTTTTTTAACCAGCACTCTTGTAAAGAAAACTAGCGTGTTGCCGCTGCCAGACGGTAAATCATAAAATTTCAAGAAGCTGCTCATTTTGAAGCTTTTGAGATGGAGAATTTGAAAAAAAAAAAAATCAATATTGATTTATTTATTTTTATTGTGAATCACTTTGTAACCATGGGTTACAATTCCATCTTAATGCCTCAGAAATGGCTTAGTGTATGTCTCATTATGACTTAGCATCTCATGCCTATGACAGATTGACCGCTTCCCATAATTAGGTGATATTAAATCATAAATCTGAGGGTTATGGGTTAGTATTTCATAATTAGGAGATGTGTTTGTAAATGAGAACTGGTTCTGCTAAAATAAAGGTCAAATAAAATAAATGCTCTCAGCATCTTATAATTGTGGCAGAGGATTTTTTTTTTTTTCTTCAGTGTGATTTTCAAAAGCCTGTTTATAATAAATCCAACCACGGATGTATAAATGTACTGTAATCCATGTCTATAATAACAGCTAAATATACTGCTGTAGTCCTATGTGTGTGCTACAGTCCTCCACAATTAGCAAAACAAGCGTGCTTTGGAAAATCCGAGTTTTTGAAAGGTACTTGAACGCAGCACAAAGGGCGACAATCGGCGCTCAGCTGAGCGAGAAGAACCGATGGATGTTTGTGTCTGAGCAGGAGAAATGTGGACGAACATGGAAAACAGGAGCTCGGTTCTCGTCAGTGAAGCGTTCAGCTCCGAGGTGAGAAGCTAAAAGGAAGTTTTAAAGCGTTTTAACTCTCTGACCCATGACAAAGTGCCAGAACGTTCTCTGCTGTCGCTCCTCTGATTTCCCACAGTTTGGACTTCCTGCAGCAAGTTTCCACAGCTGCATTTGCTCCAAACTTTGCCTTTAATTCAGGACTTGTGTGTTTCTCGCAGTAACAACTTGTGCTCGATGAATATTCACGCAGAGCTTGTCACCCTCACAGTATTTACAGTCTCAGCTCTACTAGAAAGGTTTGCTGCGTTTTCAGGTGGTTGACATAAATCTTGCAGAGCAGCTTTTCCACCCTGGTCAACAGAAAAATGGTAAGTTTTTAATTTTTTTTTTTTAGTCCAGTCTTCTTTGTAACTGTTTATTTGGCTTTAAAGTTACTCATTACAAAGAAATCAAACATAAAAAAAAATGCTATCCAGAACTCAGTCAAATGGTGCTGATTGATTTACTCCAGTCGTTTTCCTAGATTTATTGATGCGGGTCTGCGCTCAATGTAAACAAAGCCCTCACATGTTGGACTGGCTGTAGTAGGTAAACAAACATGGATACATTTTCAGATTTGGCTGTTTAGAGTAAGTTTAGCACATTCAAACAGTTTATGGGCCAGGGGGTCCCCCATGATGTGCCCTACGGCTCCTGTTGGTTTATGTAGTAAACAAATGTATAGCTGCCGTCCTGTTACACATTTTGCTTCCAGTTCTTGTGATTTAAGAACAAATTAACCACCAGTATAAAAAATATTTGTGCAGATTTAGTTTTTCTTTGATTTTTATTTTGTTGTGCAGTCTTCATGAGTGCATGGAGAACCTTTGTAAGTGCATCTGTTGTCTCCCTCAGAACAACTTTAAATAGAAATGTTCAGCACCTAAAGCCTAACGACCACAAAAAGGGCCTTAACGTTGCAACACCTAGGTCAGTTTCCAGTGGCAAACAAACCAGGGATGAATTCTATTAACCTTTAGTGTTCACAGAGATTTAAGGTGATAAAAACAGTTTTAAAGAAGGTTAACAGTCTGTTTGATCTCGTCATGTCTGAATTTTCTGTGTGTGCTTGAAGTTCACTTTATTACAAGAAGAAAGAATTGACTGAAGACAGAAGTGGTTGAGCCTTCAACTTGTTTTATATAATATTTTCACATTCATTCATAATTTACAATAATTTTTCCAGCCCCACTCTCTGTTATTTTTGTCCAGTTGTCTGTTTTTTCTTCCCTGTTTGTAATAATTTATTTTCTCCTAAAAGTTTCCACTGCAGCTGTGTCTTGTCCTTCTTGCACAGAAGACCCTCTAACCAGGAGCAGTGGAATCATCCCGGGTGAGAACGACTTTTTTTATGCACCTGGTTGGACTCATCCAGGGGGTTGGGTTCTGAACCAGATACTTTCTGATGGATTAAAAAAAAAACATATCTGTTCTTTATTGTCCTAAACAGCTCAAATGTGTTGTTTGTGTGCACATTCACAGTTCTGCTGGTGCAGCAGATCTGCCTCTTGGTTGTTATTTAAACTTTTTCAGGGGAGAACTTTTGTACTTTGGTGTAACCTCGAGTCCCTCGATGCTTCTGTTTGCTTGGGGAAGGTATAAACCGTTCAAGTAGCTGCTGTTTATTGTGAGAATTTGTAGGCAAAATGTTGAGTTTGGTGCCTTGGTGCCATCTCACCTGACCTGTTTTGGTGTTTTGTTAGACTTCTTTAAAATTTCACAGCAATCGGAGTTCTTTTTTTTTTTTTTTTTTTTACATATCTAATTGTATTAATTGTGTTAAGCCACAATCATAAAACTTACCAAAAAAATAAATAAAACTGTTAATTTGGTTAAAAAGATGCAAAACAGGTTCATTGCAGAGGAACCAACAGTATGTGTGTGTGTGTGTGTGTGTGTGTGTGTGTGTGTGTGTGTGTGTGT